TGACATAATAATCGATAATATTTCTGATGATTTTTTAATTGCTATTTTTCTATTTAACACCATTAAACTCATGTCGGGTTAACATTGTTTCAAGTATCACGTTCTGATATGTTCTCGAGCAAACGTTATAAAAACACGCCCTTTCCTGCTTGATTAATCGTTTTTCACGTAATCCAGCGTATTTAGGAAATGTAGGTCAATTCAATGAGTCAGTCCAATCGAATCTGGGAATAAAATGAAATAAAGTGAGAGCAATGTAGTAGAAGATAAAAAATTGCGACTAATTCTTAACTTGATATTTCTTATATTTCTATTGACACCTCTTATATCTATTTATATATCTCTTATATCTTTATCGATGGATTTTCTTTTACTAATATGATTTAAAATCACTGTAATTATATATGTTATAATGAATGCAATTATGTTCAAGGCAAAATGCAACATAAAATTGCATTCATCCAGTATCTGAAATTGTATAGAACTCTTTAGAAATTATAGTCATGTAATTAGCATCACGAATTTGTATTATATGTGTGTTATTTATATACACATGCAATTTACTATTCCAAGATATATTATAAATATACACTCCAGGATTTTTGCAACAAATGTAATTAATCATTTACAAATCGATAGTAGCACTTAGCATATTAGTTCTTAACTTTTTTTGATTTTGCATACAAAGCAAAACCGTATAACTAAGTAATTCAACTGTAAATTACATACAAATTATATTAATTAAATTAAACAGACTATTTAAAAGATCATGTTTTAAAATTTTTATCAATATTTTTAAATCTAAAAAACATCTTAATTCGCCAAATTTTTATAAATTATGTAATGTAGCACATTTTAAAACATGTTATACAACTTATATGTTTATGTTTGGCGCAATATAAAAGATTATATCTTTAAGTTGGCTACACATTAATACGTAATCAGAAGTGCACGTTATAATTGACCATTCAATACTTCGTAAATCTTTTTACCAAGCAGTAACTACTTGCGCCAATATTGTACACTTGGAGTATCACTTTTATTACATCATATTACATCAGAGAGACCGCCTTAATACAATTTCATGACTATACGCTACTGCTCGGTGAATCGTAGCTTCATTGATTGCGACGCGCGTACGCTAGGTCGACAGTCGTCAGGGGGAGAAGGGAGAAGAAAATCCAAACGGAACGTGCATTCAGGGTTGGAATACAAGGTGCCCCGAAGACTCGTGCTCTGGTAATCTTCTTTATATAAAGCTATTTTTATTAAAAATTGTTATAATAAGTACTCTATTAATAAATATATTAATTTCTAAAAGTTTAAAAATTTAAATTTGTAAAATAATTAATGAATTAAAAAAAAATTAAATAAAAACAATAAATAAAATTTAAAGTTTTAATAAAATAAAATTTGCAACAATAATAACGATATGAGATATATTCGTTAGAATTTGTATTGGAAAACATCTAAAATGTAAAGTACTAGTGAACGAAAAACAAAGTTTTATTACTTGTGTCATTAAAAATCTTGTATAATATTCCTCTTGAGTTAAAAATAATAGTTTTTCAAAAAAAGGAAAAAAATTTAAAGTAATATTTTATTGCTACTACTTCTTTTATTGGTACTACTTCTATATTTGGTGTTATTTCTTTTTTTTTGATAATTTATTATAAAATTTTGGAACTTGAGTGTTTTATAGCTAATAAATATTTAATTCTAAATTTTTTTTATTATACATATTTAATTCAATTACATTATTTTTTACAATTTTATTTGCTAAATATATTTTAATCAATTTTTTTAATGAATATTAATTTTATTATACTAACTTAATTGCTCTTTACATATTGAAGTGCTGTGATCAATATTCTGTTATTACTTTGATAGTATATTAAAGTAAATAATATTTGAGCTGTATATACATGCTCTTTAAAATATAGTCCCCTAAAAATATTTAACTTAGACAAAAATTAAATTAATTTAGCTATTATTTAAAATTCACAAATATATATGAGATATATATGTCACAGTTTTTTATTCTAATTATCAATCTGAAAAAATTTATTATTGACAATTTATATTAAATAAATAATAATTGAAGAATTTTTTTTAAAAGATAACTGAACAAAATTCTTTGAAATATTGGTCCCGTGCTTTCATTTTACTCTCTTATTAGTTTGAACGCTTATTCAAAAATTCTTGAATTCTGAAATTTTTGAAAGATTGTCACCCAGAGGCGTTGCACAATTTATAGCACCCTGCATTCTCGCCTACACATGGATCCGCATGTGCTACTGCGCGTTGGAGAGCCACCCTGAAGGAAGAGTGCCTATACTATAGAAGAGCCGCGCAGATGGGATAGTCTAGAGTGATCAACGATGAGGGGAGGGGGTGTGATCGGAGTGGTAAAGGGATTGATAGAAAAATCGAGCGGGTGGTACGCCTCGGCGTCGTGGCCGTCGCGATGACGTTGGTGACGTCGATCGGTGGCGCTGCCGATGCTTTTACCTTCGCCCTCCAACATTTGTATGTATACGTGTACAACAATTATAGTGACGTTGAACGTAAAGCATACTGAAGCATACTCGTGGAATAGACGTACTCGCTTCCATGAAGGTGGCGCCAATGATGGAGGAGCCGGCAAAGGTGGTGGTGGTAGTGGTTATTGATAATGATCTCGATGGTAGTGGTAGCAAAGGGTGGTCTCTCTCGCTTGGTCATAGATGGTATTAAAATACTCTTTCAGTGCGCGCGGATCCGTCGCGCGCTGTGCCGAGGTTCCTCCACTGACGATGGTGGTCATTGGTATACACATGTATATGAATACGTCTACGTGCCGGCGAACAGGGGTGTAATCACAGGTTCGCGCAATCGCAAATGTATATACGTGTGTGTATGCGTACGAGGTGGCTGGCCCGTGTTCGACTGCGCGAACGAGGAGGATAGAGAAAGTGGTAGAGAAAAGAGTAAGCGGGGAAAAGACACAGAGAGAGAGAGAGAGAGAGAGAGAGAGAGAGAGAGAGAGAGAGAGAAAGAGAAAGAGAGAGAGAGAGTGGGTAAGCGCGAGGGTGGCGGCGAACGCCGGTGGCGGTAGTGACGGCGGTGGCGGTGGCGGCGTCAGTGCACGGAAGTGGCTGTGCTCCGGTAGTGGACGGTGGATAGTGTAGTGCGGTTGGTCGATTGGATCGGTTGGTCGGTGGTTGATTCGCCGTTGGTCTCGCGTTGCCGTCTCGTGTTTCATTGAAAACTGGGCGGAACGACGTCGGACATCGTCCACGAGGCGCAGACGGCGAGACGACGACGGGACCACAAAAAGGGAGGAAAAGGGAGAGAAAGAGAGAGACGAGAGGCGAGAGAATGAGATCGATAAGGAGGAACCTTAGGCGCTGGTTTCGCGAAACGGGAACGGCGGTGCGCGACGCGTAGAGAGAGAGGGAGACATATATACTTCCTTCTCTCTTCTCTTCCTCCTCCACTCCCAAGATTGCGAGTGTATGTGTGTGTGTATGTGTGTGTAGTGCGCCGACGACGAGCGCACGCGACGGAAGCGAGACATACGCGTGTAGTACGCGCGCATACGTACGCACGCAGGCGCGAGTGCGCGCGTGTGAGCGAGCGAGCCGCCGACACACGAGGGTGGAACGAGGTTTGCGAGGAAGGGAACGCGGCCGGCTCGGTTCGTCGACTTGGCTGGCTCGCGAAAGGGCGGTTCTTGGATCCGGAGTGCCGCAACCGGAGGCCGAGGGAGAGAGAGCGAGAGAGAGAGATCGGAAGAGGGAACGCGAGAGAGAATACGCGAGAGAATTCGTTCGTTCGTTCGTTCGTTCATTCGCGTCTTGTCGGCTCGGGAAGATAGAAAAGTGGAAGAGGAGGGAGTCGATTACTATTTTTTCTCTCTCTCTCCCCCTCGATCTCTATTCGCCCTCGCTCGATGGGCTACGCCGTCGAAAGAAGGTCAAAGATCGATTCTCGGGCCGACGAGGGTCGTGACCTCGCCGTACGCCGCCGCCGAGTACGAAGTGACCCACGCGCGTAGTAGTACTATCCACTAGTAGTAGTACGCCGGCCAGAAGAGTTGTATTCGGTGAGGAGGCGAGGGTGGCGGTGGTGGTGGTGGTGGTGGTGGTGGTGGTGTGGCAATAGGTGGAGAGAGGATCGATCGGGCGGAGGATCATCGTCGTGATGCGAGGATGAGGTTGATCGACCGGCAGAAAAGGAACCGAACCGGCAGCCTCCATTGAGATCGACGATACGTACGGCAGCCGTAGAAAGAACGAGGACCGAGACAATCAATCTCCTCGTCAATGCACGTCGTTCGCGAACGCGCCATCACACGTAGAGTAGAAACGTCCGCGCGCATCCCAGGACACATCGTTATCGTGTCCGCGATTTGGCGTAAAAGATCGCGAAGGCGCAAAGAGATTGGAAATATATCGTCGACGTCGTCGTCGGCCATAGCCGGATGCTGGAGCATCACAAAGTCGGGAACGAAGAGAAGATCGAATCGAAAGAAAGGCGATCGTCGAGATTCCGGCGCACGAAGCATCACACCTTCATCATTCGACTGTTACCCTAACTGATAGCTCGGATAGATCGGACGTCCCGCTGCGATTGGACGGGGAAACGCTCGTTAATCAAATCACTCGCGTGGATAATCGGGCTGATATGAGCGTGAAGACGCACGAGGGTGACGAGGGACTGGGGAACGATCGCAAGGCGTGACAAAGCGACTACGGAAATTTCGAGAGTCCGGATTATACAGCATTCTCTTCGGAAATTGGAAAACTAGCATTGCCGAGGAAATTGGGAAACAAGGACACGGACAGATCGGAAATCATTGAATCATTAGGTCACGAAAAAGAGAAAGACGCGTGGATTATTACACAAAACGATTGCGAAAGCGAGAGAATCGGGCGATTGTAGAAGAGAGAACGACGAACGGAACACCGACGGAATATCGACGAAACGCTGACGAGACGATAACACTGATTCAAGACGATTTATCGCGCCTACGAGGAGGAGGACGAGGTACGGCTACACGCCGAGGTTTCCCGTAGAATGTCACGGGATCTTTACTCGAGCAGTGGCGTGATCGGTCCAGGTGGTGGCACACGTTCGCCACGCAGCGGTCGTCGCGTGGGCGAACTGCCAACCGTTGATCGCAGTCCGTCGCGAAGTTATGCCAGCGGTCGTGGAAGTCCGCTCGGTGGTCGTAAACGGGGAACTCGCAGTGGCAACAATTCGCCGGAGCACTTAGGCTACGGCGGAGGCTACCATCACCATCAGCTGGGCAGCCCGTACTACTCTCGCGACGAGGACCTCGGCAGTCCCGTGATGCTCGAGGAGAGGGGTAGGAGTATGTCGACCGGGGGCGGTGGGGGCGGACATCACCGATCCAGAAGCGCCTCGAGACCCGCCATGTCCAGCTCGGCGGGCATGGTAGCGCGTTACACTAGCCTCGATCGTGCCTCCGCTGGCGTTCTCGACCATGATCGGGAATTCGTGCCGATACGCGAGCCGAGCCGCGAACGTAGCCGCGATCGCGGACTCTACCTGGAAGACGAGTTATACGGCTCCAGGTCAGCGCGTCAGAGCCCGAATCCGCACATGCTGCGCGACGGCGGTGGCTACATCGGCGAGCTCCAGCATCAGAACAACGATCTGCAACGTGAGCTCGGTAACCTGAAGAAGGAGCTCGAGTTGACGAATCAAAAATTGGGCAGCTCGATGCACAGTATCAAGACCTTTTGGAGTCCGGAACTGAAGAAGGAACGGGCGTTGCGCAAGGAGGAGAGCACCAAGTACAGCCTCATCAACGAACAAGTTAAGCTGCTCAGCTCGGAGAATCAGGTCAGTCGAGAATTCTCTTTTGCGGATTGGTCGATTCGCGATGTTCGGTTCAGCCTTGCGAGCGCGTGTGCCGCGTCTTCGTATGCGTGTGTCGTATGTGTAGTCGCGTCAGCGAGTAGGATTCGATTATCGGATTCCGTTGATTCCGCACGAATACTGTATACGGGATGCTTATAATAGCCTCAGTCCCGTTTTACGATTTAAACATGAAGAGAGATGTTCTTAGAAAGCCACGGAAATGTGTGGAATATCCTGGCCGAGATCGTCGCGACGGTCACGTCACGCGCGTCCTTGCGCGAAGGCCGTCCTCTCGAAATCAGGTCGCGGGACGCGACCTGGTGTGCCCGATGTTAACCCTTTTCTGTGATCACGAGATTGCGCGTACATTATGTAGAATATTTTAGTACATGTGTTTGACCTAATTATCTCTAGCTATGTTTGCGGTCAAGAAGATTACCATATACTACAATATATAAGT